GTGTACTTAATGTCCTAATTATAAGTTTTTTTACAGTGAATAATTGTAATCGGAATTTCCATTATTATAATATTCTGCCCAGTTTAATTTATATAACATGATTTTTATTCACACTGAAGTATTATACAATTTGAAAGTCTATTTGAACTTTGGAACAACTGCAATATATATATGAAATATGAATCATTATAATATGCCTAGTGCAATTTTTCAAATTTCCAATACATATAACTATAACTTTTCCAAATATACTTATATGGAGCCTGTTTATATTTTACCATAGAAAATATTATCAAACTTAATTTCATAATATATTTTATAAAATATACCTTTTTGTGCAAGGCCATTGTTTATTATTGTATAAGTAACGACATAAACTATTTTAAGTTTTTTTTAAATATCATCATAGTAACAATATCACTAACATTACTTCACATATTCGATACTTAAAAATATATATCACTGTATATATTCACTGTAGTATAGATAGACATTTATTGTTTTATACATTTTATCAAAATACACTATTGCAGTCATGAATAAAATTGTCTCTTAAATTTTTGTCCAAATCTCTCGTATTTTGTATAAAACTCATAAAAGTCATAATCGTATAAGAATACCATATGGCATAAATACTCAATGTTTATATAATATGATAATACACAAAATCATAGATAAAGAAAATCTTTATACATGCATTTATAGTATTATCACTGCCATTTATGACATCATTCTCTTAAAATATTTAAGCTTCTTGTGTGTATACTGTATAGATATAAATTATGTTTTCTTGCTTAAACAATTATATCTTATATGCTCTAATTTTACCGAAACATCGTTCAAGCTCATAACTTAGTTTGCATATATTTTCCTAATAAAATTTAATCTATATATAATATTATACCTTGGGTATAAATCTATCCATCGTTTTCTCAGGAAATTTTTATATTTTTTCCTTTTGCGTATAAGTGGCAGCTCCAGCAAGGACGCGTGCTTGATTATTTGAAATTCAACCAAAAAAAAATTGTATCTTATTTTTATACTTGAAGAATATTTTTGTGAATAAAATACAAACAAATTGCACCACAGATTAATTTAATTATAATCATTAAATTACTGCAGTATTATTTCGTGCAAAGGAGATAAAAATCGATACACAAACTATGACTAGACAATCTTCGATTATTTTTCTATAATTTGTACATATCATCAAAAACACGCGACGTCTAATATAGCGACTGCCACTCCTTCTTTTGACATGCAAGACGTCTATATAGACACCTCAAAAAGGAAAAAAAATAACGATAATTCTCGATAATTTTTTTAATGAATATCTTATAAAAGTCAATAAAATATTATGTATATATATTATATATATATATATAGGTAGAATTATACACTATCGTTATATATATAAATGTATTAGACATATAGTCGATAAGTATACCTAATAATATGATATTCTACAAGATGTTCGTTTTAATCATTTTGTTATTTTCTAATTAGAATGGTGCCGAAGTATATTAAAACAAAATAAAATGATTTAGATTTAAATAAATATAAATAATTTATAAAGTATAAAAACAAAACTATAACAGACAGGCACTAATGATATGTGTAAAAAAATTATTAGGACTATATTGTGGTATAATTTGAGTAGAATAATTCCAATGATTCATATAAGTATAGGTAACTCCCGCTATTATAGCTGCTAATTGTTTTAAGACCTTTCAAACATAGTTTTGGGATTTTTAGTTAATTTATAGAATTATTTTATAATGCATGTTTGTCATTTGAACTTGCACCAATTTAACCGCAACTATTCATCGCTACAATAACTATATATAGGTATACATTTAAAATTATAATATTATATGCAGCGCGTAAGTTATTAAGTAACCTATTAAATAATTAATGAACAAAATTATTTATTTTCTAATTAGTAATTGCCTAGAACAATATAACATAGTAGTACCTATACAGGAAGATAATATGGTCATTATCAGACTGGGTTTCACACAAAATAACAATCGTGTCATAGAAACTTACCTATATAATTACAATAATATATTATAAGTATACTAAATTATTATTACTTATAGTCAACAAAGTACATTTTAAATAATATACCAAGTACCTAAACTTACTGATTTTATAAAAACTGCAGAACACAATAGATTAAATATATATATCGGTACATTTAACAGCAACTAATAGTATTATTTTAAGAATACAGAAAATAACGGTCTTAAGAACACTTTGGAAAAATTTGTTTAAAAAAATGTATAAGCTACTAAGCTAAATAATATTATTTAAAATTTCTAAATATCATTGCGTGTTCTAAGTAAATACATTTTACTAATAGTATTATTGTTACGAAACTCAATTTGTGTTGTAATGTATACAACTCACGATTCAAAATATTTATAAACTATACTATTTCGCAATTATTAACAATATAGGTACAAATGATCAATAATATAATTTCTAAATTACTAATGTGACGGTGTCGTACACTCGTATATGATATAAATATTGCAATATAAATTTGGTATATATATATACAACCATAATTAAGTCTAAAATTTTTTAAATCGCACTGTGCACCTATATATAAATGATAATAACAATATGTCCCTACACGTATAATTACTGTCGATAAGTTTGAATTTCCTATAAGGTTATAATATTTATGAATAATGCAGTACTGCGGTTATTATTTTTAAATAACTGCAATACAATAAATTATTACAATTCTTAAGAACCATAAAATATAGGAGAGATTATTATTTTTCGTCTAATATATACAGTTTTGTTAACTTTAAACACTCATGGAAAATTAATGATAAAATTAACTAATATTTTTTTTATTCTAGTAGGAACAACTTAGAGTCATTGAAATCTTGTAGGGATGTTCAAGCCTTAGCTTTTAAAATTGAATCTGCCATGAATTTTTAACTACAAAATAGTTTTCAAATTTTCATGTTATTTATAGACATATGAAATTATAGACTTTTTTGTTTGTGTTATTTTGATTATTCGAATTTTCGTTTGTTTAAAAATGCTTGACAACTTTGTATAACTATACTTTGTTCATAAGTTGTTCTAACAGAAATTCAATCAGAAAATATTGAAATAATAGCAGAATATTTTTAACGTGGTGTTTTACAAACGTAGTTTTATTAAGTTGTCAAGCATTTTTAAAAAAAAAAAACAAAAATTCGAACAACACCAATAATAAAACAAAGAAAGGTCTACAATTTTATACGTCTATAAATTACACAAAAATATCCAATAGATATCAAGCAATGCCCTTACATGGCTTTGGTAGCCTGGTCAATACAGCACTAGCAGCAATTGGAAATATTATTACAATATCAAATGCCATTATGTACTATTGTACTATCAGTATTTACTTTGGCAGTATTTACCAATATCGTACTTGGCCAGCAGTGGCTAATGCTGAAATGTCAGTACTGCAGGTAAACCGCTATCATTCCATATATTCGACAGTATACTGGTGACAGGTGTTAACACTGGATATGTCAGTATAGCGCTCGAGTACTAGTTGGCTAGTATCCTAGCGCAGTATTATTGCCCGTTGTAAATCTCCGAATGGGATATTTTTTTGATTATGTCATGTCTAGAAAATGCCATTAAAAATATTCGGTTAAGCTAGTTCTGAGTAAATATTCCCAAGGTTCGTGTTTAATTCGTTTATTTTTTTGTTTCTCCTGGTTATGTTTTGAAAAGTACCAGGAATTTTTTACTTTTGACATCCTTAAAGTAATAACTAGACCCTCTTTTCTTTTAGTAGAAACCTGCACGCTCGAGGTTAAAGATAGAACATTTTTATACTTATTCTAGTCTACCCTGCTCTATACGCACCGACACATATCGTTGTAGATATACCTACTTATAATAATTAACAACCCAATCTAAATCTGCAGCTATAATTGTTGTACTTATTAATTTATTGTAATTATGCAATACGCACTATTAATCTTAATGATTTTTTTATTTTTATTTGACTTTTGACTTTTTGTCATTTTTCTTTAAATAAATTAAATAAATATTATGTAGATTTTTCATTTTAAAATGGTCTTTTTTCTTTACTCTCATAGTTGGTTACAATATACTTACGCACTATACGCAATATTTTAAATCGCTTTAATCAACGAACCCAATGCGAAAACGATCTGTCATGAACTTAAAATGATCGATAACGAGGATCCTAGATTATAGTAGGTATAGCGTTTCTGCGGGTTTCGGCGACCACAGACGTACGGCCGGCTGGACTGCCGGAGCGGTGACGGTGCAGACGCATAATAACTATTATAATATTATTATGACGCGCAAAGGCAAGGCGCCTGCTCTGTCGTTGTACAACATATATATTGCCACATTGGTGCGGACGACTGTGCGGCGACGACGCGCGCGGAACACGGTCTACAGACCGCGTCGGTGGCGGGAGCGAGCAGGATATAAGACGTGTCGTGAAGTTCGCGAATTCGTTTGTTACATTATTATACGGTTCGTATAATATCGTTTTTCTATCGCGAAAGAATAAAATAATAATAACGTCGTGTAGTATATCTACCATCGACGGGTACTCGCATCGTGCACGGTATATTAAAATAATAATAATATTATAATAACGATGGAGTAGTAGTGCCTATAAAAATAACAGCATATTATCGTAATTTATAATAAACGCAGCAAGTATCTATACAAGTGTATATATTATAATATTATGCTCGCGCGCGTACCCATACCATAATATAATAATAATAATAATAATAATATTACGAACGGCGCGCGAGAGACGGCCGTCGTCGACGGGACCGTTGATAATCGGCCGCGCAACCGGTCCGGGGGGGACCAATAAGGCGTGGGCGCCACGGCCGGCCGACCAATGACGGGCCCGTGGCCCCGGCGCGGTCGTGTAGTGGCTACGAGCCGCGGGCACCGGCGCGACGGCGGCGGTACCTGACCGTCAGTCGGCCACCTATACGCGCCACCGAACAACCGCGTAAACACACACGCGCGCACGCACACACGCACACACGCGCCCGCGCTATCGCTCGCTCGCTCCGTATTGCTACGGGCCACGTTTCCGGGCGAACAATAACAATATTTTAATATAATAATATATTATCGAGTTTTGTTTTATCGTCTCGCTGCTGCCCCTCGTCGCACGCGGCTACGCTCACGGTTACGCTCGTCCGCCCGCAGTGCGCGTGTATACTCACTCGCGCCCGGACCCGCCGCCGCCGCAGCAGCCACCCTTGGGCGCTACCCTCGGGAAAATTGTCGTCATGACGTCGTTTCAATCGTCATCACGACTTTAACGCGACGAAAATATTGCGCCCGGTGTGTACCGACATATAGGTATAGTGCGAAATTCCGAGTTCTTCCATTTCAACACTGCAGCAAGTGTTTTCTATGTATTAAATTTTAGTATCGGTTTACAGTGCGTCCCGTACTAACCTAGGTCATATTACATACACAAGTACCTTTCTACGTTGTGTGTGAGAGATCTCCTTGGCAGTGGATACGTGAATAAATGGTAAAGTACGAAATCGCACTCTTATTCGATAATAATATATAGACTGCCGTTAGGAATACCTATAATATTATTTAGTATATGTATTCACATTATAATAGGTTATTTTGTGGGATAAGGCTTTTACGATATTGAAACCGCGATCGTTTATGATATTATTATCATAAGTACATATTACCGCTGCCAGCAAACGTCATCGCCGAACGCGCATGCCCTGGGGACGAGACCCCTTTGGGGATTCGCCGAGGGTAACTTAAATCCGTTATTGTTTCCTGTGGACGTTTGATTTCATTGCTGACCCCGATTGCATAATATGTACCTATCGTATACAATATTATAGGTACCTACATCTTTATTTTACAAACTCTGGGTTCATATGTACCTGCTATGTGTATGAGATCGATTTGTGAAAATTTCACTTTTCGTATACATCTCACTTCATTCAAAGTTTTCAAGACATATAATCCGTCTTTCATTTGGGTTATTCTTCAACTGTAATTTTAAAGTCTAATACCTAATTATTATTGAGTACAGGCGTATAACCCTACTTTATTCTTTCATAATATTATCCAAATATCCAAGTACCTACAAAAGATATTTAATAGGTAAAAAAAACTAAAATTAATTTAAATTGACGAAATGAATAAATATGTAATTTTAATATCATTCTATCATAAATTCATAATAATTATTTAAAATGTCTTAAACTAAAAGTTCTCATTATTTATCTTTGTTAATGAATATTTGGTGGGTGAAAAGAGTGTTTCGAAAGTAATTCTTTTAAGTTGGAGCTATCGAGTGACACGCATGTGTATTAACTGGTACCACAAACCATAAGACATACTTAGGTGTTTAAAAATAGGTAGGTACCTAGTTTTTTGATTTCCTTGTAGTTCGCCAAGTGTCATATAAAATGGCTGGCTTAATTATATAGGTACTATATTGTACTAAACTTTATAAACGTAGTAGTAACCGTGAACTCTGCTTAGAATATTTTTTTGAATTAAAAGGTAAAATAAGTATAACTAGGACTTAGGTAAGTTATAACAGTTCTGCATTGATATAAAAAACAGAAGATGGTTTAATAAGTATAGGGACCCTATAGGTAGATTATACTTGAAAAAACAATAACATAATAACATTAATAAAATACATTATAATTTTCAATATATATTACTTGTCGATATTATATTATATGTATAAATGTTACATATTAATAAATAATAATGCATAAATACAAAATAAGTAAATACCTAATGCAATTGTACCTAACTACCTAGTTAGAACTTAGTTGATTTATATTTTAGACAATTTATTATTCTTTGAAGATATTCCCAATAAATGCTTTATTTCTATAGGTCTTAATATATAATATACTAATATAATATGTGTTTATGACTACATTATGAAACTAATGTGCAGCTACTAATTCGTTAGTTTTTAATTATTATTACTCTCAAAGTCTCTGTTGAGTACCTAATTGACAATAATGAAATAAAAAAAGTGATTAACTCTTCATAAATAAGATAAAATTATGAAATCGTACTTTCAACTCTTTGAGAATCCGGGTTCTTAAAATTTTTGTTGACTTTTTCTTATATCTTTATACGGTTTTTTTTTAATTATACAGTTTTTGTAATACCTAACCACTGATTAATAAATCATCAAACGAGACCCGCATACAACCAACGCGTAAATTCAATATTATGAATAGGGTTTATTTTTATTGAATGGTTTCGGTGAAAATCAATCATATTCGGTTTGCGGTAGGTATTCACATAGCATATGCTATGCATAATATACATTTGTTAACTTTCGAAACCGGTTGCTATAAAAATTAATTTAAAAAAATGTCTTATAATCGCTTTCTATGATATATATACAATAACATACCATAAATTGTCATATCATATATTATATGGAGCCTATATGTAGGTATATAGGTATTATATATATTGTCATAGTTTTCCATACCTAAGTACCCGCTGAGGATTGATTTTTTTTAAGTATACATATATTTTTCAAAAGTCAACATTCATCATTATTGGCTATGATAAGTTATATCTATATATTTTTGAAGAAAAGATGAGGTGCGCTGAGGTTATATATTTATATATTGTATTATTGTGTTGGTTTCGTGTATATCTACCTAAATTTTCTTAAAATCATAAGGGAAACGGTTAAAAATCAATCTAACGAATACTATTCATATGGTATACATATAGGTATGATAATTTAGTTCAACGGGTAGAAATCTATGGTAATCGTGTGTTGTGAGTAATTTGATTCACTTATATGTAATAACGAGAAAGGGCTGAATCGAACTTACCTGTGTAATATAGATTCTGGTGTATTGAAGATACGAGGCACGGGACGTACCTATATATTTTCTTTTGTATATACATGCGCATGTGTGTAATTACGAGTAATTTTTTTCGTCTCTTATTGCTGCCGTATTATCATTTCACTGCAAGGTTGCAGTATCACATGTTCCCGTGTGTAGACGAACAGAAGCAATGACACACACCCAGACACACATATATAATGTGTAATATTGTGTATATGATATAGAGTCTGGTGCTGTGTGATTATTTAATAATGCCACCGGTCCGCAGACGAGTCAAAATAACAGGGCGAAATGATAATACACATCGCGTGTCAGCTCCTCAGATTTTATGTGCATTGCGGCAGGTATATAAATGTACGTGAAGGGGGTGTGAGAGAAGTAACACAATGAAAATGTGTCATTATATCGACAGATCAGGGGCGACCAATTTGGTCGATTGAGAGTAACGGACACAGAATTATATATATATATGTATCTACAATATGATGATATAAGTTATGATATAAGTGCTGCTACCATCACGCGTTCGGCGACGCGTGGGAACTATATCATATTCTTATAGCTCCAGAAAATGTGTCGTTCGATTTATTGTAGTCAGTGGCGTAGCCAGGATTATGCGGGGGGAGGGGTTAAGTACAAATCAAACCAAGTTTTTGCAGTCTTCGTATATAAATAGAATATATTTTAATAGGGGAAAAAACAACGGGGAGGGGGTTAAACACCCAAAAAACCCTTGGCTACGACACTGATTGCAGTAGTAATAACCTATAGGGTATCATTCATACAGTTAGCTTTTTTTATTGATTGATTTGAATTATGTAGTTCCTGTAATATACTTATAAATATTGGAATTTTGGTATTTTGTGGCGTATACAATTATTGTTTTCCTTCTACAAAAAAACTCGAAATACATGGCAGTCGCCAGTCCGTATCAAAAGGTGATTGTAATATTACCATTATTATACACGTCTTCGATTAGTACTCAAAACATAATATTATCGTGTTGAACTCTGATATAGGTATTTTATTATTCCGTAGACAGGTTCCCTCTCACTCGGTTTATTAAATTGCAAATTACCACGCCGACAACGTATAGGTATAATGTAATTAGTGTTTCATAGAATCTACTACTATGTACCTACCTTGCCTACCATGCCCTATACCTACTCTAAATTGTATATTCTTGGAAACTCTCATAAAACCTATAACCTGCTACACAAAATATGTTGTTTATACTTACATAATAATATTATTTATATTATACCAATACTTATATTCTCCAATTCAAAAACCTGATTAATTTTTATATTTATTAATGTCAAGACTTCAAGAGTATTCTATTTGCATACATAAATAATTATTATCATCAGGAATATTTATAAGTACAATAATTTAAAATAAGGAACTGATTAGCCTGATTAGATCTGGATCATAATGGCATATGCAGCGGTAGAGATTAGATATTATTAGTAATTACCGATTTCGTTTATTTTCCAACATTATTATTATTACGTATTATTAATTATTATTGCTATTAAGCATTAGGTTTAACCCAGTGTAGAGCCGTACCGTAAACATTTTATTTAAAACAATTTAAAAACATTTTTAGCACAAAATAATCATATAATGTATACTCGAAATATAATTTTTTAAGGAAAAATAATAATTTAAAAAAACTACAAATAGGTATATGTAGTTCATTATTTATTGTGGATAATATGTTTGTTTAGTCTAGTTAGACTATCTAATGGGTTCGTTTGCTTTGTTCAGTCGTGAAATTACTTGTTATTGACAGGAACGAAATGTTTTTTGAAAGTGTTCTGAAACTTTTAGTACCTAACTAATATAATAATTTGCGGTGAGTAAAATAAGTTTAGCAACTACTGAGGTATAAATTTATAAATTAAGACAAATATTGTAATTCGTACAAACTCGAAACTACCAACTACTGAACTACCTACATATTGAATAAGTATTTGTAATTGTTATGACCTATACCTACCCTCATCATAGAACGTAGTTAATACAATTATTTAAATGTTAAAATATATGCACTTATTCATATATACCTACAACCTACCTATACAGCTGTACTCATTTTGATAGATTTTATTACAAAAATATGTTTCATAAGCTTTTACTCAATAAATAAATAAATTAGGTTAACTAACTGAATAGTTAACATTATAAGTAGGTATATTATAACTGTATTTTTTTCGTATAGAAATATATTATATAAATATGTAGGTTTTAAAGTTTGTATAAACCTGATTCTAAATATATATATTTGCAATGTGATATAGTTAAGTATTGATTAAAGTAATGAAGTTACAATTATCTCACTATATTAAATTATAGTAGAAGCATATAAAGTAGATCTTACTATTATATGCTATAATGCTCTATTATTATGTGAGTTGTCCAATTATTCGTACTGGTGGAGGTAGTCGTGATTATAATAATCTTAACTTTATTTAAAATAAATTATAATTCTTTGAATAATTATGAAAGTTACGTACTTTACACCATTTGGTTTTTAATTAATTTCAGTACATCTGTACATTATATTGTTCACTAGTATGATTCGCCCGCTAATCATTAATAATGATTATAGATATAGGAAATATAATTAATAAATAGTACTTAGTGAAATGACCTTTT